TAGAGAAAAATAAGATAGATATTACTGAAAGAGTTTTCAAATTGGAACAGAAGCATTCGCAAGATAATATTACTAATAATAACTCTTCTAACTTTAATTTAGATATAGACTACAATAGAAAATCACCACAGGAGAAAGAGATAGATAATTTCTTAGATAAGGTGTATAAGAAAAGCATTGGTGATAATATTAGGTAATGCAATAAAGAGAAAAAATTCAGCGTGAGGTGGGTATCCAAGATGTAATGTCTGACCTTATATATACAACAAACACAGTTGCTATTATTAACAATTTGGATGAGACAGAAAGTCAAAACATTGATAAAATTAATAGTTGTATTTCCTCAGAGTCATCTCGTGAAATAGAGATCATTGCAAATACCTCACAAAACCAGACACAGAAATGTATTACAAATTTTGTTGTAGATTCAAAAGTACCTTATAATATAAAAACTATTAATCAAGTTAACAATCAAGATAAATTAGCAGTAGATCAAAATATAATAACCAAAATTATTCAAGATTTGTTGGAAGAGTTATTCTTACCAGACAGACAACTTCAAGATATAAAGTTTTTTTTCCCCAGAACTCTAATTCTTGGATCAATAAGTATCAAAAAACTTGCTAATTTTTTCTACCAAGCGAATGTTGCTAGAAATAAATTGATCATAGCAAAGTAGGCAGAAATAACAGCTTGGCACTTATACTCTAAAAGATTCAAAGATAAGATCGTGGAGCTTAGGTTTAAAGATAAGAAACTTGTAGATAAGACCACAAGATCACAAATATATGCTGAAATGAAACTATATCTTGTGGGTATTTCTAATGGATATTTATATATAATGATCTATAAAGTAAGAAAAGTCAATAAGTTATTTGGCTATAAATATAACCATGTAACTCTAAAAAAGATTGATAGTATATCAAGGTATATAGTTAATTGGATCATCTGTAGTGTTGACAGAATTTTAAAACTTACCAACCCTCAAATCGAATATATCATAGAACAGGTCAAATCAAAGACAATTACTAGTCATGTAAACAAAATCCCCAAAACCATAGCTACTTCAATTCACAACATGAATAATAGTTCTAATAGGATATCAGATATTACAGTTTACTTTAATGAGGAGGTTTTTAAAGAAGAAGAAACAAATGAATTGATTGAAAGAGTCTCTAAAAAGTTTAAAGTAATTACTAAGGCACCGGAAGCACAAGTGAAGCCCTTAGTTTTAAACAAATATGATATATATTTTGATAAAGATTTAAAGAAGGATGAAGAAGAATCTAACGAAGTTAAGTCAAATAATGATAGCGATTCTAGTAATTTCACTTGTTCTAATAATGAAAAAGATGCAGGTTATTACTACAATTTAAAAACTGCTAGTATATCTTATAAAAAATTGATTAACGTATATTAATACGCGATACTGGAACTCCAATAGTAACTGCAATAGTATAGATTAATAAAGTTAGCTTAATAGTCTCATTTTTCTCTC